GAAGTCCAGGATGGAGAAAACAGCCGCCCAGCTCATCCCGCCCGGGCACCTTCACCACGTGGGCACCCGCTGCCAGCTCCACAGAGGACACGCACAGAGGGACGTGGGGCACTGAAGGAGCTGGGGTTCCTCAAGGAGGGGACGCCGCAGCCTCCCTGCCCCCTCCCTGCAGCCTCTCCCTCCCCCCGTTGCAGTGAGGCTGGACAAGCTCTCGGAGGTGGCCAAGGTGAACACGGACGCCATGCGCCTGGCCCAGGAGGAGATCTCCGAGTACCGCCGCCAGCTCCAGTCCAAGACCACCGAGCTCGAAGCCCTCAAAGGGACTCAGGAGTCCCTGGAGAGGCAGCGACAGGACTCAGAGGAGCGTCATCAGGCAGATGTCCTGTCCTACCAGGTAATGGGGTGCAGTGGGCAGTGTTGGGTGGGGAGGGACCGTTGAGCTGCCGTGGAGGAGCAGCGCTGGTGCTTTGGTGTCAGAGGTGGTGACGACCGGTGGCAAATACTCAGGTGTGTGTCCAGAGCCTTCCCCAGCTCCTGGTGGTAGGGTGCCAAATCCTGAGGCTGCATCCAGACTCTTGTGTCCCTCACTGCTCTGCCTGCTCTTGAGCTGCCCATGATGGTCACAAGCGCCACTGAACCATGCCCAGGGTTCAGGCCACATCTTGTGACTGCAGCACAGTGGGCTGCACCAGCTGGTGGCTGTGGACTGAAACACTGTCCCCAGGGTGATACCCCGTCCCCATTAGCCTCAGGGTGGGGGGTTGGTGGCCACCAAACCCCTCCAAGCCCTAGAAACATTCCCACAGCTTGTCCCTGCCAGAGGGAGCTCTGGGCAGGGGGTGGGGGCTCAGCTGGTCACAGTGGACCTCTCAGCTAAGGTTCCCCCAAGGGAACTGGACACACTGAAACAGCCCCTGTACGTGTCCCCTTCCCTCTGCATCTGCAGGGGGAGGTGGCTGGAGCCCCCTTTGTGCTGCCACCCCAGTACTGGGTGAGCAGTCTCTCCTCGGAGACCAGGGGACAGTTTAAGGGTGGTCTGTGTCCCCCTGCTCCCGGGTACTGTCTTCTAATATCTTCCAATGTCATCAGTCACTCTGTCTGCCTGCAGGAAACCATCCAGCAGCTTGACAACGAGCTGAGGAACACCAAGTGGGAGATGGCAGCTCAGCTCCGGGAGTACCAGGATCTGCTCAATGTCAAAATGGCCCTGGACATTGAAATTGCTGCCTATAGGTAAGGGGTGGGCAAGGGGAAGGTGGGAGGGTCTCAGCCAGTCCCTAGTTCTGCTGGCTCTGGGGATGCTCCTTGAAAGCCCTGAGACCTGGACCTTTCTTGGTGAGGAAGAAACCACCCATCCTCCAAGAGCATGGTGGGCAATGTCAGACTGGGTGACCTAGCCCTGCACGTGGCTTGTGGAGGGAAGGGTGAGGAACCTTGTAGGGCCCAGGGCATAGGAGCAGCATGGTCAGGCAGCACATCAAAAGCAGGGCAAGGAGGGAGATGAAGCTGCAGGGCATGGTTGGCAGCTCCTGCTCACAGGAGGTGAGAGCTGGGTGAGAAGCAACCACTGACTGCCCTAACTCTGATCTCTTCCTGACAGAAAGCTCTTGGAAGGGGAGGAATATCGGCTTGAGACTGGCATTGGGATGCTCTCGTTCCCTGAAGTGGTCCCCAAGGCTCCCAGCATCACTGCCAACATCAAGGTGAAGAGTGAGGAGAAGATCAAGGTGGTGGAAAAATCAGAGAAGGAGACGGTGATTGTGGAGGAGCAGACAGAGGAAATCCAGGTGACCGAGGAGGTCACAGAGGAGGAGGAGGCTGAGAAAGAGGCTGAAGAGGAGAAAGCTGAAGAGGAGGAAGAGGAGAAAGCTGAAGCAGAGGGTGAAGAGGAGGCCAAGTCTCCTGCAAAAGAGGAGGCCAAGTCCCCAGAGAAACCAGAGTCCCCCTCAAAGGAGGAGGCCAAGAGCCCAGCTGTCAAGTCCCCTGAAAAGGCCCCAACCCCCGCCAAGGAGGAGGCCAAGACCCCAACAGTGAAGTCCCCAGAGAAACCTGCACCACCCTCCAAAGAGGAGGCCAAGAGCCCAGCTGTCAAGTCCCCAGAGAAACCCCCAACTCCCTCAAAGGAGGAGGCCAAGACTCCAGCTGTCAAATCCCCTGAAAAAACCCCAACACCTGCCAAGGAGGAGGCCAAGACCCCAACAGTGAAGTCCCCAAAGAAACCTGTGCCCCCCTCAAAAGAGGAGGCCAAGAGCCCAGCTGTCAAGTCCCCAGAGAAACCCCCAACCCCCTCAAAAGAAGAGGCCAAGACCCCAGCTGTGAAGTCCCCAGAGAAACCTGCACCCCCCTCAAAGGAAGAAGCCAAACCCCCATCTGTCAAATCCCCAGAAAAAGCCCCAACCCCTTCCAAAGAGGAGGCCAAGAGCCCAGCTGTCAAGTCTCCAGAGAAACCCCCAATGCCCTCAAAGGAGGAGGCCAAGACCCCGGCCGTGAAGTCCCCCGAGAAAGTCAAGTCTCCTGCGAAGGAGGAGGCCAAGCCTCCACAGAAGGAAGCAGCCCCAGCCAAGGAGCCCACTCCCACCCCCCCAAAGGAGCCAAAAGCCCCTGAGAAGGAAGAGCCACCCAAGGAGGCGAAGGCTCCCTCCAAGCCTGGAGCTGAGGCGGGCAGGAAAGAGGATGCTCCCAAGAAAGATGTCCCAGCCAAGGTGGAGGAGAAGCCGAAAGAGAAGGCAGCTGCTGTGCCAGAGCCTCCATCCCCCCAGGTGAAGGAGACCACCAAGCCTGGCCCCAAACCCGCTGAAGAAGGCAAGGCTGAGAAGGAGGCTCCACCAAAACCTCAGCAGGAGGTCAGCAAAGCGGCTGTGAAGGAGGCTGAGAAGCCAAAGCCCGAGGAGCCCAAGAAGGAGAAGCCCGAGGATCCTAAAGCGAAACCCAAAGATGAGCCTAAAGCCAGTAAAGAGCCCCCCAAGGCCGAGGCCCCCTCCAGCAAGGAGGGCAAAGCCCCGGAGCCAGCTGTGGGGAAGAAGTGAGCGGGGTCCAGGGTGGCACAGAGCCGCTCCCCTCCGAGGTCCCCGTGTCCTGGGGACCCTCCCGGCTGGGCCGGCGGCTTCCCCCGCGGGACGTGCCCAGAGCCACATCTCCACACCTGACTTCTCCCGGGGGAGCCGCCCGCCCTGCTCCACCAAGTGCATTTATTTCATGTTCCGTGCAATCGAGGGCCGAGCCTCACGCAGAGCTCTAGCTGCTTGGGATTTGGGGGGTGGGGGAGCTGGGGGGTGACGGGTGTCCCTCGGAGGGGTGGCCCAGGCTGCGGGGATGCTCACGGGCACGCGGCGCACTAGGAATCCTCTGCCCACTGTTTGCTTTCTGTGCAATAACCAAATAAAGTGCTTAAGGAGAGGCCCTGGCTCTGCTGGCTCCTGTTGGGAGAGGGGAGGAGGAGGTGGTGAAGGAAGGAAAAGGTGGAGGAAGG